TATTAAGCTCCCAAAGCCTGGACTTTTCAGCTTCCAGAGTTGATGTGCTCAGATACGCATGGTTTTACTGCATGTAAGGCTTTCTGAGGGGGGGGAAAAAAATCTTTAAAAATCTGTAAAGAGTCTTTAAAAATCAAGACCTTGGCTGTTTTAAGTGCCTGTGACACTTTGCTCAAGTGGAATTTTGCACAAGGGCATGGGCCAAATGTGATGTTTTTACCCCCTTTTTCTGTGCTTTGGATCTCTCTCACACCCTGAAGGTTTATTATATCTCAGTGACGAGTGAAGTGGCTTCTGATTTCTGAGGCTCTCTTTCAGGAGATGGAGAATGTACAAAATGTAGTATGTACGTGCAAAATGGATGTTGGGGAGAAATTGCAGAACAAGCCATTCTGTTTCCATTCTTGATTTGAATTCTGATTTGCCATGTCAGTTAGTTATGTATCTTGTGTGTGCCTGCTTACTTACCTGTAAATAGCTGCAATGATCATATCCCTGTAGCAGGGAGCTTTTTTTTTTTAATCTCATAAACCTTGATTTTTTTTTTTTTTATGTTTGAATTCTTCAGAGGAAAGTTGCAAAGTAGCTGAGAGATCAGTGAACGTTAAAATAAGAGTTATTTATTATCACAGCCCTATGATGAAGGAAGTCGTTTTCTAGAGGAGCTTACCTTTCCACCCACACGCAACTTGAAGGCTCTTAGCTCGCTGCCTTAAAAGACTGATCTCGATTTTATGATGCTTCTAATCAGTATTGTTTGCTAGGGATTAGAGGCCTGATCACAAATCCTGCCTCCTCCAGGGCCCGATGTTGCTAGTAGTGTCCCACGTAGTCTGTGACTGTGGCTGCCCCTGGTGCAGGCCAGTGAAAGTTAGGAGTGAGGACTGCAGGATCTAGCCGTGAAGACGAGCTCTTCTCACGTGCCCTGAGGGCTGGCCTGGTGTTCAAGTGGCAGCGTTGCCGGGTCTAGTCAGCATTTCTTTTGCGGTACTGGCAGGGCTGACTAGTTGGTTAGTTTGGTTTTAAGGATTTTACAGTTTGTCATGCAAGGCCTGTACTGTGAGCAGCTTTCTTCTATTTTACTTAATAGTTTGACTACGTCAGCGCAATGTAGCATATTCGGCAAGCAGCTTCAGTCTTAATTCTGAGTTGCTGGACTCCTGTCAATTCATCATAAGCTCTGATATTGTAATTTTTTTTTTTCCATTTCCTATCTCCTTTAAAAAGGAGATTTCACACTTGAAATTTGAAGTTATGTTTCTAGTCAAAAGGCTTACTGGCAAATCTGTATTTTTTCCTACACTGTCAATTTCTTGTATTTTCTGTTTCAAAGGGGTTGCTATTTTGAATATTAGTTGAAAATTGCTCCAGTTATTGTCAGAGTATGTAGCTAGTATATGTGGCACAGATACGGTGGAGTTGCTGGAAGGTCAGAAAGGAAAGATGGGGAATTATTTTTATACTGTAAAATACAGTTATTTACTGAAGCTTCCCTTCAAGTCCTGTTAAACTTTGTTTACAATGTTATGGTTCCAAGTTTTGTCTACGTGGACTTAGCAGGCCTGTAATCTATTTATGAAAAATTACATTTTTCTTACATGGGAGTTTTCAAGAATTTGTTGGTAAGGACACTTTGAAAAACCTCCCTGGCCAGTAGGTACTCCAACACCCATCACAGGGATGGGCTCCATCTTCAAGTTAAGAGAAGGTTAATCACATTTTTTATGAAACTGAATGCAATCTGAGGGTGGTGCCCATTCATCCCCCTGGGCTGTGATCAGAACGGGCTGCCTCTTTGACATGCCTGAAGGAGAGATGGGAGACAGAAGCAAATTTTTTTTCTGTACGTTGGCATGATTTGAACCACACTGAAAACTGTGCTGTTCTCTTTTTGTGCTCGGAGTGGCAACTCTCATGTAATTATAAACATTGAAAGGTGTATGGGGAAGACAGGAACAAAGTTGTTCCTTTTCTTAGCCAGCTGGAGGGTTTGCTCTTGAATACCGTGTAGGTAAGCAGGCCTAGGGATAGTCCTTGCAGCCTGGATCTGCTGTCCTACAAAGCGATCCCCTGCTTTCCCAACTGGCCAGCTGGCATAACCAGGACAATGGCAGGGTGAGCTGTGTATGAAGAAGGTTGCGGGATGACTGTGTGTCCCAAGCAGCTCACTGCGGCTGAGGATGCCGTTTCCTGGGCAAGGCTAACAGTAGCGTTTAAATGGCAGTCATGGTATGTGTTTGTTCAAGGCTTTTAATATCTCCCCGTGTGTCAGAACAAACAAACTCTCAGACCACTCAGGAGGCAGAAGTACTTTCTTGTCAACTTCTTGGGCCAACCTTTTTTTTTTCTGAGTATGGAAGCAATTTGCATCACGTTTTCTAACTTGCATAGAAACGGCCAGGTATAACAGAGGGTAGGGAGGACAGAACATGACTCCTCATCCACGTCTCCTTTCCTCTTTCTACAGAAAATATGACCCTGTCCTGACAGCTTAGGTTTGATTAATGGGATTGGAGCCCACAGATGGCACAAAGCCTTTGGGACTGGAGTTCAGTGGGGTGTCTTAATCCCAAACGAAAGGGTGCCCAACAAATCCTTTTATCTGTCAGCACCTGACTGGGGCAACTGTTTGTACAACAGCAGCTTGTATTCAGGCAAGACACTGTCCTGTCAAATTCATTTTAAAAAGAGATTAAACTTAATTAAGAGCATTGAGGAAAACTGCCTTGATTATTACTGCCAGTTATTACTTGCAACTGGAAGTCAATCCTTTGTCTGTTGCCATTTGAAAACTGTAGGATTAGATGGTGCCACGCTATACATTTGCAAGCCCTTGCCGTAGTTTTCTCTCTCCCTTGTAGCCTGCTCAGGACCCATCTCAGCCACAGACTCATTTCAAGATAGTTGCTGTGCAGTGTTGCACCTGGAATGAAGGGTCCGTTAGTCATAATGCAGGATACAAATACCACCCAAGGAAATCAGAGAAAGTGGTATTCTCTACTCTAGGCTTCTGGATTTGAAACTAGATTTCAGGCTTTCCCCATACACATAGATCTTACCAGTGGGATGGTAAAGGGGATGCTGGCAGAAGCAGAATGACATCTGTAATTTGTTGAACTCCAGCAGGATCCAGAAACCCCAGGATCCAGAATCCAGGACAGAATTATGTGCAAACTCATAGGGAGATGTGGTCCCTGCCTCAGAGCTTGCTTCCTCAGTTGCTGATGAAGGAATTACAAGTGGG